GAAAGAAAGAAAGAAAGAAAGAAAGAAAGAAAGAAAGAAAGAAAGAAGAGAAGAGAAAAGAAAAGGCCAGACATGATGACATACACGCTTGGAGTTGTTGGTTCTAGAAATCCGAACATTTTATTTATGTAAGTTTTGAAGATTCGCTTACTCTATTCTACCTGCATCATGTGCTGTCTGCATTTCTGCATGTGCGTCGCATACACACTTAGGGGTAGTTGAGAGCCACGGTTGGGGGCCTGGAAACCGAACCTGGATCCTCTATCAAACAGCAGGTGCTCTTCACCTCTGAGGCATCTCTCCACCCCACCATATACACTTTAAACCTGGGGAGTGCTGGGGAGCAGGAGACAGGCGGATCCCTGACAACTGGCTGGCAAGCCTGACCTATGTGGTAAGCTTAAAACAATGGCCACTGAGAAACCCTGTCTCAGAACAAAGGGGAAGGGCTTGATGCACCGACATCCTCTTATCCCGTCTTCTGATGTCTGCAGGCACCAGGCAGTATGTGGTACACATGCAGGCAAAACACTCAATGCACATAAAATAAAAGAAATAAATCTTTTAAAATGTTAAGAATAAAAAGTAAAGCAACTAGAGTTGCTGGAAAACTTTAAGGAACTACACAGATAATTAAAAAACCCAAATCACTGTGGGAGGAAAATCATCTAAGAAGAGAAGGAAGAAAGAGGAGAAAGAAAGGAAGGATGAAAGAAAGAAAGAAAGAAAGAAAGAAAGAAAGAGAGAGAGAGAGAATCTATATCTTTCTCACTCCTTCCCTCAAAAATAAGCACTGACTTAATAGAAGATTCGTACATCCCATCATAACCCTCATAACCAGAAATGACAACTGTGCTCCTCTCTCTAGCTGCATGAAACCAAATATGGAAGACACCTGGATGATTTTAGTAAGTTAAAAGAGCCCTTCCTACCACTAGGGAGGCTGAAGCAGGACGAGAATTCCAAGTTCAAAGCCAGTCTGAGCTGTACAGGGTGACCCTGTCTCAAAAACAAAAACCAACTAACCAACCTAAAACAACAAGAAAACCCAACACCAAAAACCTAAAGCCAAAAATAGATAGATAGATAGATAGATAGATAGATAGATAGATAGATAGATAGAAAGAAAGATAGATAGATAGATAGATAGATAGATAGATAGATAGATAGATAGATAGACAGACAGACAAAGAGAGAAAGGGAGGAGGGACAGATGAAGTGGAAGAGAAGGAGAGACAAACCAAGCCCTCATCACAGAAGGACACATTAAGAATGAAACAACAATACCTGCAAAAGTTCGAAACCATCCAATTATATCTTGTCTTAACTTCCTGCCTCCTGTGCTCCTCCCACAATGAGAAAAAGAAAAGAAAAGAAATAGACACTGGCACCAGACTCAGAGGAATGTCGCCTGAGTGTTAATGAGATGTAACCTATGATAAGCAGCATTTGAAATTGTTGGAGGAAAGAGAGACTCCTCTGAAAAGTCAGAAACTTATAACCCATATAAATGCCTGGCTTCCACAGTGGGGTTTTAAATATATTACATTTTTAGAAAAGAAAAAATTAAATTAAATTTCAAATTTATCTGCCAGCATTGACAAACTGAAAGACTTTTACGCTGTACATCTGTTTGCTGATCCTCCTGGCACTAGGAGCAGCTGTTACCGCAGAAATAATCCAGGGACTGGCTCACGCCCTTTACTTGTGGTGCAGGCTAGCCCCTGCAGGCAGCTAAGTTCTGGACTCCTCGTGTATAGTAAAGATAAATAAAAAGTAACTAAAATAGATGACATAAATGTTTTAAAGGTTAAGAAAACAATCACTCAGCAGTGTCCACTGCACATGCTTGTCTTTGCCTGTGGTGGACAGGACTGCTGTCTGCCTGCTCAGGAAGCGAGCGTCACTGAGGACAGGGAGCTGAAGGGCCAAGCTCTTACCCATGGGAAGCACAGAAGCTGGGGGCAGGGGGAGGGGAGGCTGGGTGGGGTGGGCTCCCTACTCCCCTGGTTGCTGGGATGAAGGGTAATGGGACCTGGAGGGGCTGGCAGTAGGGGAGCAGTAGAGCAGGGGATGGGGTTATCTGTGATCCCAATCAATGACAGAAAAACCTCCTGCTCAGGTTTCCTCCCTGCCATCTGGTCAGTACTCAGGGTGCAGCTTACCAAGGAAACAAGCAGCTGGGAGACAGGGAAGGGGGAGGCCGCGTCTTAGGAGCACAGGCTGGTGGATGCAGAGTCTGGCCAGCCCGGCTCTGCCACAGACCTGCAGTACATTGCTGGGTGGTCTTTGCTCCTTGCCCTCTCTAGGCCTCACTGAGTTGTGAGCAGTGGGGAGGGGCTGGCCTGGCAGGGCCAGTGACATGGGCCTCTGCTGGCAGTGACATCCAGGAACAAGATGGACAACAGCTCACACCGGGTGTCCCCCTAGCTGGGGGTTCCTTCAACCCGGGAGGGGACCTGACACTTGTTCTTCTCAAGTGTGGAGATAAAAAAGGCCAGGGCAGTGTGGAACTAGGGACCTTTGTTCAAGAGCCTTTCATTTGCCAGAGACACCCCAAGGCCTGTCAGACAAGCTCAATTTTTGGCCTGGTTCCTGAGCCATGCTTCCCCAAGGGCAACCTTGCCGATCTCAAGAGAAATGATACATGGCCAGGTGAGAAGGAGACATGGGCCTGTGCCTTTGTCTCTGAGTTTTGTCATCCTGGAATGTCCTTCTGTAGCCAGTCTTCCTATTCTTAATCACACTCTTACACAATCAATGGCAGCTAAGAGGCATTATGCCCAGGAACCAGGCATGGGTAGGGACACCCAAATTCTGCTCCAGAGGAAGTTAGTTACTGAGCCTATGAATCTACAGAGCTTTGGCTGGCTTTAAGAGCATTGTAAGTGCCGGGGTGGCAAGGAATTGGATCAGAATAGAAATAGAGCCTCAGCATGCAAGCAGCCAGACTCAGCAAACACAGAGCAGGGGCCGCGGTGCTTGGACGCACAGCTCTGTAAAGGACCTGTGTGGTAAGACCGAACAGAGGGCTTATCCCAAGAGCTCCGGAGTCAGAGTCAGCACCGGAAGTCCTCACTGAGGACACATCATTCCCAGTGGTCCCAGTGGTCAGGTACCAGGCCTTTGATTACTCCTCTTGATCAGGGAGTCAGCACCCCAGAAAGCGAGGCTCCAGAGGGACAAACTTCACTGAGGCACAGAACTCCAGTGCTGTGGATGTGGGAGGAGAACCCAGACCAAGTCTGGGGAGCTCTGACCCTGTAAGAGGTGAAGATGGGGTATCCTCTCCCCACAAATAAAGAAGGGCTGGAAGGGGAACGCTGTTCACAGAGTGGTCAGGGTAGTGACAAACGACAACAGAGCCCTCTGGGGAGGCCACGCCAGGCTACAGCCCCAGCCTGGGCATCGATCTCCAGAGAAACTGATCCTGAGACTTTGCTGGCTTTTAGTGACACCGGATAGCCTAGGTAGAGGGGCCAGCAATGGCTGCAGGTTTCCCAGCGTCCTGTAATGGCTGCTCACTGGTCTGAAACTGACCACATTGCAAGCTTCTGTTCAGGACCCCCTCCTTAGCCCACAGGGAGAGGGGCTGTCCTGGGGACCCCCCACCAGTGAACAGCTCAGGAGTGGTGGGCATGCCTTTGGCTTTTGAACATCCCTGGAGTGACAGACCTTGAAGCCAGAGTATTATTAGAACCTCTGGCTTAAGAGACGGGGGTCTATGGTAGCAGGTCCCAAAAGATCCCACTCCTACCACGGCCCTAACCCTAAAGAGGTAGACAGGAAGCCATACTTACTTGAGGATGTCCTTCTTATTGAAGAAAGTACAGTCCTGTGGAGAAAAACACACATGGTGGACCCTTGGGACCCTCACAGCTATGGGGCCCCACCCCACAGCCCTGGACCCAAGGCAAAAGAGTGCCTACTGCTCCTCCCCACCCCTCCCCAGAGGAGACAGCCAATTCCAGTCGGTCCAGAAGATGCCTCCAGAAGCTTCTGGTCCATGTCTCCTCCCAAATGGGCCCAGTATAGTGAGCACAGGTGGGGTAGGCTGGGTGGCACATTTGGGGGTACTCAGCCAAGAGAAACATAAGTGGCCACAGAATATTTGAAGGCCGGGGGATACACTGTGGGAGAGCAGTGGGGTAGCTAAGAGACAGTTCTCAAAACCACTCAAGAGAGCATCAATGGCGTGCCTCGGCACAGCACCATCCGCACTGAGAGCAGGGCCTCATGGGGGTTGACAGTCTGAGTAGCCCTGAGTAGCCCTGGGCAGCAGTCCTGAGTTTGGAAACTTACAGTTCCAGGCATGTGATCTGTGGTCTTAGGATGCAGGAACAAGATGGAGGGCCTGAGGTATGAGAAGAAGGGAGTGGACAGGCAGCATCTGGACTCTTTTTAAGGACCTGTCTGTCTGGATGAAATACATCTGATTATGGCCTAGAGTCTTAGATAATGGTTACCATGCCAGGCATATGCCAGAGGATGTGAAAATGACCCAACAGGACTTAAAATGTCCACTGATGCAGGGCTTTTCCGTTTACCTCCTGCTGTCTAGCTCTTCTGCCTTTGCCCACTGTTGCGGCATGAAGAAAGAAGGCCTCAGACTCTGCAGAGCCCACAGGGCCTCCTGGGGCCTTATGCTAAGCAGAGCTGCTCTGATGAGGGGGGCGAATGGACACAGCACAGGCGTACCCGCAGCCGGGCTGGCTCTGGAAGACATGGAGCTGCTGACACCAGGCCGGCTGGATTGCACGCTGAGGCGGGCCAAAGAGGATGCCCACAGTATATGCACAACAGCTGGGGTTTCCGTGCTGCCTCTGTATGGGCAAAGAGGAAGGTGGGTGGAATTTCCAGGTTCCCACGAAGTCCAGTGAATCTATCTTTATGAGCTGCCTGCTGTCTACTGGGAGACAGAGGAAGAACTCCATGGGGCTGTGCCCATCTTGGACACTCAGGGCCTTTTCCTAGGGGGCTCGCCTTTGCTTATGGCAATGATGTCTCTGTAGGAGTCGGGAACAGCTCAGGCTGGGAAGCAGCAGTTCCATCCTGATCTAGTGCAGACAGAAAACTCCCTGTCTGGCAGGGCTAAGACTCAGGCAGGCTGAGAGCATATGGGCTGTTCTCTGAGTCCAGGATCCAGCAGCCAAGGCAGCCTGAACACTCTCCCTATCTGGAGGGATAGCTCTGCCATCTGAGGAGACCAAGCAGAACAGGCCAGGGCTCTGCTGACTAACCTGGGAGCGCTGTCACAGCCCTGGAATAGAGGAGAGGGAGTCTCGGCTCCAGTCTCTCTCTGTTCCTCCTGCATACATCCTGAGTCAGAAAGAAAATATACAAACCCTTCAAGAGTACTACTTGCAAAAGGTGTGAACGTTTCCTACACATCGTGGCTGTCTTAGCACAACTGGACTCGCTTCACACTGATCTTTAAGGAGTAGTGGCCAAGCCATAGCCTCCTGGGAATATGTTAGAAATGGAGACTCTTGTGCCAGACTCTGGAGTCAAAAATTCTGGGTGGACACTTGTATTTTAAAACCCCCCAGTGGTGCCAATTCCTACCGGCAACATCTCCAGGACAGTGGTACCTGAGGAGCAGTTTGTAAGACCTGGAATCTTGCCACCCCTCAGACCAAGGAAACAGGAAGTCCCTGGATCCTCCCAAGCAGCAGTAGCCTTCAGAGCCACTCAATCCTTCCAAACAGGCCTGTAATCCCAACTAAGAAAGGAGGATCATAAGTTCAAGACCTGTGTAGACTACTAAGTACTTAGCACCCAAGGCCAGCATGGGACAATGAGTGGGACACTGTCTAAAAAGGTTAAAAGTGAACGGTAGACAAGGGGCAGGGACACGGATCGATGGTTGTAGCATGCTTAGCATACAGAAAGATTTAGTTTCAATCTGCCCAGGGCTCCCTTCGTCCCTTGGTGATTCTAAAGTGCAGCCCAGGCTGGGAAGCACCTCAAGAGCTCTGTCTGGCGTCTGCTTCCTATCTACCTGGCCTGCCTACAGCAGTGGTCAGGAGCTAAGCCACTATCCGTGCCATCTGAAGGAGAGGGCGCTCCTCTCTGGCTTTGCCAGCCCAGCCTGGGCCTGGCCCTACCAATCACCAAACAGCTGGAGGTCAGGCTCCAAAATGACCTTAGTTGAGCCTCATGACAGACAGCCCTGTGACATAAGCGTAGCTGGAGAGTAAGAATTCCCATCACAGAAGTGGGGACCTGGGCCCAAAAAAGAACATCAATTTGTTAACTGCCATAGCACCAACTGCCCAACTACAACCCGATCCCAGGATTTCAGAATCCCTGTATTGAGTTCTTTGCCCTCCTAGAACTATATGTTATGTCTGTGTTCCTTTCTTCCTTCGTTCTTTCTTCACAAGCCTCTTCTGTGCCTAGAAAAGGCTTCACAGGAAGGGAGGAGTGCAGGCAGCAACATTACCCAATAGGAACCCTTCAGTGGCCAGAGGAAGGACTGGAGAGGTATATGAGTCTCAGGCCCACTGTGTACTCCCAGGCGAATGTACCAAGGTGAGCTCGAGGAACCCATCCTGAAGATGGGAAGCCTAGACGGACTGTTGGTGAGGAGCTGAGGCAACAGCACCGACTTGACTGGAAGCCCTGCAGGTGCCTGGAGCTTGAAGGAAATGAAGTTGGGGCTGAAGAGACGGCTCAGTGGTTGGGAGCAGTTGTTGCTCTTACCCGGGACCCAGGTTCGATTCCCAGCCCCCACATGGTGGTTTACGGCCATCTGTAACTCGAGTCCCAGGGGTCCCATGCCCTCTTCTGGCCTCCACGGGCAACAGGCACACACATGGTCACATACACATACATGCAGAGAAAACAGTCACACATAAAGTGAATAAATCTAAATTTAAAAAATGAAATGAAGTTGGAGAACAGCTAGACCAGGCTAGATGAGCCCTGTTCTGCCTGCTCCAACAGTCATCCCAAGACACCAGAATTACCTGGAGAGAAGGCAGCTATACTGGTTTTAGAAAGCTCTCTGCTAGAGCTGGGTATGGCGTTTACGTACATTCATCCAGGCCCAATGGATGGCCTCTTAGGGTTTCCTAGAGGGGTCTAGTCAGAACTTAGTCAACCCAACTATACGCTATCCCTTGATAGAAAGACCAAAGAAGGAGGGAAGAGGAAGTGGGGGTGGAAGGAGAGAATGAAGAGAAGAAGGACAAAAGGTAAGACTATAGGGACCATGGCTGGAGCCAACTACTCGAGCTGGAGGAGGAAGCTCCAGTCAGAGCTCTGTCCCCAGGAGACTTTGGAGGGCTGGCCAGGGCCATGTTCTTGGGATGTAAGAGGGGAGGTCAAGGTGAGAGGCAGAGCAGGCTGAGTCACAGGCTTCTTCGTAGTTGAAAACCTGGGCTGAAGCAAAGAGCTGGAATGGTTGAGGAGGGCACTGGGTTCTGGGGAGGGCAGTGGGCCCTGTAGGTACTCGAGGGGCTGGGGCAATGTAAGTGGCCGGGACAGTAACTTAAACTCTGGGTATCTGTGGTGGCATCCGGAGAGCAGGAAGTGGGGCATCTTGCCTTAGGGAGAGAAGACTGTCAGGCTAGGAAGCATAACTCTGGTTATAACCCCACCAAGCCCTGGCTGGCCATGCCAGAGCGCCAGAGGGAAGGAGAGGTGCGTCTCTCGTGTTTCATGGTTCTCATTTCTCTGGCAGGGTCTAGCCGGGCCCTGGCAAAGGAGCAGAACTCAACACTGGACTGGGTCTGACTGGTAACCCAATGCCAGGCTGGTCTAGGTGGGCATGCAGGCTCCCCCCTCACCAGGCCACTCTTCTCTCCTGGGTTTGGGTTGCCTGTATCTACCTCCACTTCGAATGCCTCCTTCTAGAACTTACTGAGTATAAATCCTGATTTCCCAAGGCCCTGTGCAAACTCTCCACTGTTTCTGAACCTTCCAGTCAAAGCAAGAGCTCCCTTGCTATTTATTGCCCTTCCCTGTCCACTAGGGCTCTTCACAAGTACGCATTCCTAGGGTCACGCTGGAGATAATCTCTCCGTTGTAACTGAATATTCATGAAGGTTACACACATCCACAGTAGGAATACACTCGACATAAAAGTCCTACCCAATCTGTTTAGAGGAGACAGAGGAGACTCCACATCTGGGCGTTCAAAGACAGGAGGCATTACATGGAGACAAGAGAAAGGCATCTCATGCCCAGGAAACTGACTGAACCTGGCCAGTGGGGAAACTCAGGTAGATGGAGTACAGGGTGCAGGATACAGAGAGCTGAGGAGACTAACGCAGCAGAGGTGAGCTAGGCACCCGAGCAAGACTCCAGGCCAACCGGGAGATAGTGTTTCCACCTACACCTACAGAAAAGTTTTCACATGGCCGGGGGCTTTGAGTTCACTAATGTCAACAACTAGCTCTGAACTTGGAAGAAACTGGGGTGAAAGGGGATATTGGGAGCACAAAGTTGAGAGATGCAGTCTCTTCCTCCAGTTATTTCCATGCTAGAGCCATAGAGAAACCCCAACAGATAAACAATACACCCCAACCTGTAACTGCGTGTTTAGCTTCCTGTCCTCCTCCTACTTTAAGACCTGTCTAGGTTGGGGGTCATGCCCAGTGGGTTGGGAGGAATGGCTGGGTTCCCGCCTGGGAGGGTAAGAAGGGGGGGGGGGCGCTTCTGACAGACTATTCTAACTGGAATGCTCTCTCATCCCCCTGGCCTGGGAAACTGAGGCTCATCCATGGGATGTTATCCACCCAAGGTGACGCTACGCGCTGAAGGCAGCGGAAGGGTTTGAACCTCGGTGACTCTGCTTTCGTGAGGCCTCGGAAAAGGACAGCGGGGAGAACCACAGGGGCCGCGGCGCGCCGGGTTCACCTGGTAGTTGTCCAGCTGCTCTTCAGTGAAGATGGTCTGCTTGTTCCCCATGGTGACCGCGGCGTCGTCTCTCACCCTTTCGAGAGCCGCTTCCCATCGGCAGCTGCAGGAGCCCGGAGCCCGACACCCGCGGCCCTTGCCAGCCCGGGGGCGGGCAGCGTCGCCAGCCTAGCCTGGCCCGCTCGGCTGGGTCCCGCAGTTCAGTGGGAGGGAGCAGGGGCTGGGCCGGGAAGGCGGGGCCGGAGGCGGGGGCGGGGCCGGGGCGGGGCCGGAGGCGGGATTGGGGCGGAGGCGCGGCCTGGGGGAAGGAGGCGGGGCCTTAGCCGGTCTAGATTGAGCCGGGAGGTGACTTCTCCCAGGGGACAGAGGCCAGCTCGGTATACGCTGCTGCAGAGCACTGGGATGGCCAAGCGGTGGCCTCCGAGGGCCACATGACTCCTGGCCACTGTCTGTGTCTCCCGTTCCACCTAGCACTCTGACCCGCAACGCCCAGGTCATGCCTGGTGACAGTGGGCCAGAAAATCCCTTAGAGTCACTAGTTGGTAGAACAGGCACACGATCCTCGGGCCTCCCATGAGGGATGTGGTCCTAGATTGAGAATGAAGGTGTTACTGAGTTTGGCCCAGTCACAACCTACTTCCCATGTCAGGTCTGTCTACGATAAGCTGATTTTAAAAGCCAAGTTAAAAATCTGAAAGCAGAGCCGGGCAGGATTACTGCCCACGCCTGTAATCCCAGCACACAGGGAGAACATAGGCAGGCAGATTGTTGGGAGTTCAAGGCCAGCCTGGTCTACAAATCCAGTCCAGGACAACCAAGGCTACACAGAGAAATCCTGTCTTGAAAAACCAACTACAGGGAGGCTGGGACAGAAGGATTGCTTTAGTTCAGGAGTTCTGGGCTGTACAGTGTCCTAAATTCGGCAACAACCTCCTGGGAGCGGGGAACCACCAGGTTGCCTAAGGAGGGGTGAACTGGCCCAGGTCGGAAAAACCAACCAACAAACAACAAAAGTTAAACACAGTAAAAGAAATTTATTCAGTGCAGCGGCATTGAGAAGAAGGACAAAAAGATCCAGAGAGTCCCCAAGTCTGCCTTTGGGGTCCTAAACTGAGATCAAAGTTTAAACAGAGGGCCAAGGTATGCACACCTCAGCCGTCCTGGTCAAGGTATGGTAGTGTCCACCACTGACCCAACATTGTTTGAAATCTTTCTGAGAGTCAGAGGCAGGTGGACGACTGTGAGTTTGAGGCCAGCCTCATGTATATAGTGAGTTCTAGGCTAGCCAGGTCTACATAGCAAGATATTGACTTTAAAAAAAAAAATCTTTCCAAGAGACAGGTTCCACCTCTCAGTAATGTGTTTTCCTTCTCCCAGGATGAGATTTCTGCGGAAATTTCCAATTCTTAAGGGTCACTGTTTCAACAATCCGCTAGTCAACTGAGAGGCACAAGTGTCTCTTTAGAATGTCCTCATTTCTTTCAGGCCGGTTACAAGAGCATCTAGATAGGGCCAGCTTCTGCCACCTGTGCTCACCCTGGACAAGCCCCTCTCCTCTGGCATTCTCCTCTGGCATTTGCAGAGGAGCAGGGCCGTCGGGGACACTGGCCTCTGAAACCCTCCTGGAGGGCAGCAGATGTAGCTGAGTGGTAGAATGCTTGTAAAACATTCACAAGATGCTGGGCTCCATTCGAAGCAAGGAAAAGAAGAAAGGGGGTGTGGCATAAGGACTCCAAGCCTGGCAGGCACCTAGCCTTTGACCTGGAGGCATCTCAGGAGGAAGATAGGGAGTACATGGCTTTTTGTTTTGTTTTTGGTTTTTGGTTTTTTGTTGTTGTTGTTTTGCTACTTGAGAAAATCCAAAGAAGTCACCATGTCCAGAGAAGTGTGACAAAAACCAGGATGTTTTCTTGGAATTTGAATGAAATGTATTATACGAAAAACAAAACCCTTTTAGAATCTCAGCCTGAACCTGAACATTAATTTGTCATAAACCCTATTTAAGGCAGACAAACATACAGATGTATTTACTGTGTAATCAACTGGGCAGGGGAATCCTTATTAAAACAAACAAACAAACAAACAAACAAAGCCGCAAGCCAGATGTGGTGGCCCACACCTCTAAATTCTACCAGGGAGCTCAGGGGTTGGATGCCCTCTTCTGGCCTCTGTGGGCACTGCTTGCCTGCAGTCAGGACACAGGCCTACATGCAGGCAAGCACCCATATCATAAAATACAAAAAATTTAACAATACAGATGAATTCAGACTCTACCTCAGCAGAGGAGTGGGCTCTGGTAGCAATGGGTAAGATCACCCAGTTGGTGCCAGACACTAAGAAAAGTGACTACATGAGCCTCTGTAGCCACTCTGCTGAGTGAGGCCTTCAAGCAACTTAATCATGGAGGCAGGGCAGAGGAGGCTAACCAAGAGACATGATGGGCTACCGTCATCAGCCCCATCAAGGTGGCCACTGGAAAAAGCCCATCCAGAAACCTGGAAGTTCGGGAGTTCAGGCACGACCTATCCGGGCCCCACCACCACAAGGAAGGCTACCAACAATGGGGTCACCCTTACTGTCTTGTGGGGCCACCAGACCTCATGAAACCTGAGTCAAAGCCTCCTGGTGGCCCTACTGGATGACAACTCCATCATGGGCTGCCAAGACCATGTGAATGTGGTCTCCTGTAATCCTAGCACTTGGGACATAGAGGCAGGAAGATCAGAAGTTCAAGGTTATCCTCAGCTACGCAGGTGATTCAGGCCAACCTGGAGTACATGACCAAGTAATTAGATGGGCAGTAGAGAAGTGGCAGAGAGCTAGCCTAGCATGCATGAGGTTCTGTGCTCAATTCCGAGCACCGCCAAACAAAACATATATACCAGTATTGCTCAGTTTTGCCTGGCTTATAATGCTTTGGAGGCCCTGAGTCACCATTCTTCTACTCTTAATTTCTCAAGACTTATTTTTATGTATGTGTAGATCTATGTGTCTGACACGTGTATGTACAAGCCAGCGGACACCAGAAGATGATGTTAGATACCCTGGAACTAGAATTACCCAAGGCTATAAACTGGCAGGTGTGGGTTCTTGGGAACCAAACTCAGGTCCTCTGAAAGAGCAGCAAGTGCTCTTAACAACTGAGCCATCTCACTCTTCAGCTCTGAGTGATATCTTTTGTTTTAAATTATTGTTTTTAAATTGTGTGTGTGCACACAACTGCACAGCCTGAGGGGATCAGAGAAGTATCAGGTCCACGGACGCTAGAGTGACAGGTAGTTTTGAGGGCCTGCTATTGGGGGCTGGAAACTGAACACAGGTCCTCTGGAAGAGCATGGTGTACTTTTAACCACTGAGCCATCTCTCCAGCCCCATATTGGAGTTCTGAGATTAAAGGCATGCGCCAGCACCCCTGGCCAGTCAGCCTGGTTTTTCTTGCTATAATCATTAGGACAAGCGTCTACATAACAGGTCTTTTATTTGCTTGTTTGTTTATTGTTGTCCTTGGTGTTTTACTTGTATTTTAAGATTGAGCTTTGCCGTGTAGATTAGGCTAGCCTTGAGTTCACAACCCTCCTACCTCAGCCTCTTCAGTTCTGGAATTTCAGATATGGGTCCCCTATTCTCTACTTCTGGTGTGAGTTGGAAGGGAGGATGTCCTCAGCATTTCTAAGAGACACTGCATGATTAGGAGATCCTGACTGGCCTGAGCAGGTAGAACAACTGGTGAAGAGAAATACATACATGCATACATGTATACATACGTACATACGTGCATACATACATACATGAAGCTAAAGGGTCTCTTGCAAGGCCAGGAAAGCAGCCCATACAGGGGCTGGAGCACAATGGCTTGCTCCGCTATTAAAAAGCGCTTGTTTCTCTTTTGAAGAACCAAAGTGTATTTTCTATCAACTACATTGGTGTGCTCAAAGCTGCTTGTAACTCCAGCTCCAGGGCATCCTAGTGTTGTCTTCTGACTCCACAGACACCTGAATGCACATGGCATACACTCACACGGGCACACACACACACACACACACACACACACACAGACACGCACACGCACACGCACACGCACACATGCACACAGAGATAAATAAAATGTAATCTTTCTTAAAAGCTGCAAGGAGCCTCAGCTGAGCTCTTCAAGGATTTCTTCCGTAGTTGTGGCACAACCTACTCGGCGTTGGACGCCTGACTGAGAGGCAGAGCTGAGGGTATAATGGTTGGTACTGTATAAAGCCCTTCTGTTCTCCTCTCCAACCGTAACAGCACCTCCACTCTTGGGAGTAAGCACGGGTTTAGTTTACTGCTTCATGTGCCCTTGATGGAAGTCATGTACCAGGCTATTGGTGGATGGACAGCCAGAGGACACAGCCTGCAAAGCCCCTCAAGGCTGAGGTATAGTCAGGGAAACGTTATAATTGTGCTCACCTGAAATTTCCCCTTCCCCTTAGCTTTCTGCTATCCTCTTTGGTGACGAGAAGGCTTGTGTGGGTTCTAGTCACCTGGCAGAAGATTTGTCCAACCCTCACTTCAGGTCCTGCCCAGACTTGTCCGCTTCTCTTCCTGTCAAGACTGTCTGTCCTCAAATCTCTAGCTGTATATCACTCAGCAGGAAACAGCAGTTCAGACATACTACCCAGCAGCCTGTGGGGAGGGAATAAAGGTTTGATGACTGGAAATGTAACCATGTGGTGGAAACCCTATTTCTATTGTAAAAATGTTGAAAGTATGAGAAAATGGTCCCCAAACAAACTTAATAAGGAGACTTGGGATGGAATTGTGGTGAAGTCTGGACTTTGGTTTCTACCTCTCCTCCTTTTGCCTGCCCTCCCCAACTCCCACCCTGTCTTTGAAGGTCCGTCCATTTCAGTTTTTTTTCTCTGCAGTGTTTCTTTCTTCTCCTCATGTTTCCGTGGACAGGCTTGTCTAGAAAGAAAATTTGGGGCAGTCAGATGGCTCAGTGGATAAAACCACTTCGGCCATGAGCATAACAGCCTGAGTTTAATCCCCAAATAATCGTGATGGAAGGAAAGAATGGATCCCCAAAGGTTGCCCTCTGACCTCCACACATGACACATACAAATAACAAGTTAAGACGTAAAAAGAGAGCCCGTAATGTGGCTCCGTGGGTAAGGGTGCTAAGCTGGATGTATTGAGTTTGGTCCCCAGGACCCCGGTGGTGGAAGGA